GGCGGGGGTCTGGTCCCTAACCCGCCGTATAAGCGGTGCCCTACTGTACCTTTGGTGTTTGAAAAAGCAGGCAAGATAAATTTTAACTGAATAATAATCATTTTCTGAATTTATGCTCTTTTCTGTTGTGGTGAACCTCACTTTTTATTGTTCTCAGACTTGAATTTACACACATTTAAAAATCTCATGTTCTTTTAGTACACCCTTAGTTATTGACAATTTGTTAAGAACACACATTTGTAAGACATGCCATGCACATCTTTAAAATTCAAAAATCAACATAAAGTGGAATCTTAGGGTTGTACAATGAACATTTATTAACACAAGTATCTCATTTGTATATCTAATCAATTCATCTAGAAAAAATAAAAATAAAATGAAAATAATGAGTTCAATTTGTATATTGAGATTTCAAGATATCAACACTATTAATTATATAAATTCCCTGCCATGCCATCATACATTCACTTCACCCCACCATTCCAAATACACATTCACTGACAGAATACAGACAATTAATTAATTTGTACAGTGGAAGCATTACTTTAGAAGTCTGGATGTTATATTTAACATAAATAGACAAAGATTGTGAAAACTGCATCAGTATTGCTGGCAATCTTGAACTTTGATCTTGCAAATGTAAAACCAACAACTTACTGGACCAAAAATAATGAAGTTAATAATACACCATAAATAACATACACACGTTGAAGTTATCTTCAGCCACACAATTTTCAAGTCCACTATAACATTTATATATAAAGTGTATTTAAAATAAACATTAGATTTATGTGCCACATATGCATATAGAGGAATCTTCAAACTTTCATTTATCCACATGAGAATTATCCAGTTTGTGCATTATCTTTTCATGACTTCTTTATACACCCACTTTGGAGGTGCAGTTAGCTTTGTGAGGGTCCAGAAGATGCAGTCCCCAATATACTTTTTGTACTTTACAGTCATTATTGGTGGTGGGGTCGGGAGATTTTTTGTAGTGGTCATGGTGATGGAAAGAGGGGATGCTACAGGCATGCTTATTCTTTTCTAAATATTAGTGTCTTTCTGTCAATTCTGTTACGTTATATTGTTAATCAGGTCAGAATGATAGTTAACACTTGTATCCTGGTTCAATATAAAGTTAAAGGTGTAGATGTAATAAGGCATTTTAACTATCACTGCAAACTGCAGAAAATTACAATTATTTACATGTTTTTAAAGTGTGACTTAAAAATTGTGAATAAATATTAAACCTGTAAATATATTTTGACATTTTTATCCAAAAACCATGCAAATTAGAAAATTTTGACTTATCATCTGCTTTTGGTTAAAAGTAATCCATATTTTGAATGAATATGCCAAACAATGATAAAGATACAAATTGAATGTACACAATGGTGTAAAATGAGAACCTGAAAACATTTCACATTTGAATAATATATTAAGCCATGAACAAAATAACATAATAGAATTTGCACTTGGCACATGGGACAACATGACATCCTTCATGGACAGTAAAGCTTCTTAAATTAACCTTACAGTTACTTCCAAGTGATACATGAAGAAATATCTCTGTCGCATAGTAACACTAACACCAGAAACTGAATCCATTGAGACCATGATTCCAACTTTGGAATCACCAGCTTCACATTTCTAAACACTACCCATATATGTGGTACCATATCAGGAAACTGTGTGAAAGTTCCATGTCTTGGAACATCCATCTGAAAATATCCAAGCACTTATCTGAAATGTACAATAAACTAGAGACACATAAATTAAAATGAGATTAATATTATGACCTTCACAACTGATAATACCAAAGTTTGTGTGTACGAAGTTTTCCTTTCAGTTTCCTATGTAAAAGATTACAGTAACTACTTCACAAGCTTCTATCTTATAATGCAAATGGGAAGCTTACACAGCTAACAATGACAATATGTAAGACTACATACATGGTATTTATCCACACCTTGTAAGTTGCCACTGATTAAAATCGAGACATACACATTACAATCATACTGCAGTTTCATTCAATTCAGAGGTCAAATCTGTTCCAGATATGACTATTTCATAGTTTATGAAGCTCCAGCCTCCAATTCTGATGCTGGAGTTTCAGGTTCTTCATCATTGTATATGTTTTCTGCCATTTGCCAAACCTGCAACAGCATAACATCGTTATATAACGGAGGGTGAATTAGACCAATGAGAGATGAAGTGACAGGAGGCTGGACAAAACAGCATTAGGATCTCCATAATTTACACTCTTCACCAAACATTAGGATGAGATGGACAGCTAATGTACATGGGGAGACGAGAAATGAGTACAAAGTTTAGGTTGGGAATTCTGAAGGGAATAAACCATTTGGTAGACCTAGGTATAGATTGGATGATAAGAACTCTGCACTATGTAGTTAGTTAGTTATGGGTAGGAAACTAAAGGGCATTTCTGTACACATTTCAGTGCCCATGCCCTTGCATTAAGTACATCTTACCTGCATTATATTATCTTCAGAAACTGAACAAATTACCCACGGTTCATTTGGGTTCCACGAGAAGTCTGAAATCTTTGCTGTGTGTCCACCATGAATGAACTGTGAAAAATAAAGGAATTAGTACTAATACACTTCCTTAAAAATTTTACAATCACTTCAAGAGTTATTTCATGTCTTGGATGATGAAACTAGAACTTGGTACCTTCTGAAGGAATTTGCTGAAAATGTTCAACAACAAAATTTCTTCCTCTTCTCCTGGACCAACTTAATGATGCAATATTCAGAAACTATATCACCATATACAATGTTCATTCTGCAATATTTGCTGGTTTTGTCAATTTCAGATGCCACAAATTGAATAACACCATGCATCTCTAGCTTAGCATGCAATTCTATATCAACTGCTATTTTGGGATTGCATTAATGTGTGTACACATGCTCACAACTGCATAAGCAACAGCATGTATGCATGAAACAAATGAAAAACAATCTGTGGCTTGAAAGTGTTACAGAATTTTATATATACAGTGAAACCTCGACGCATCGTTTTTGGCGGGGGTGGGAAATAAAAACGATGAATACGGGAAAACGATAGTTGCGGGAAAGCATTAAAAATTTTAAAAAAACTGAATGTTTCTCTTTCAAAGTTACTTCTTTTTACCAAAAAAGTCTTTAATGGACAACTGGTTTGTCAAAACTTTACGTTTTAGGCCAAACAGAGCCCTTTCCACGTTCAAAATGTTTTCCTCGTCACGTTCACTAATATTATGCGCATAAAAGAACGACTTCACTTTTGCCAATGCAGCATGTGCTTCGGCAAAACTCGGCACAGCTTCGGGCTCACATTCGTCGTCTTCCTCTTCCTCACCGCTCCCACCCCCTTCGCAAACAATAACAGGAAGAATGGAAATACTATTACTGCCGAACTCAATGAAACATAGCTGTAGAAGTCACCGAACCACTGGAAACAAGATGAACCAGAAGAATAAAAAGTGTTGCCCGCCTTTCCTTTGTACTTATAATAAAAGCATTTGTGAACAAATTCACACTGCACATGCCATCTTGCATCACTGGAACGAAATATGAGTGCACCCTAATTAAACTCATAAAATTTCTGACAATAACCCCTCATTCCAAAAGAATCTGTGCTGGTTGGGCGACGTAACAGGTTACCGCTACTGTGTATTCCAAAAACATTGTGCGTCTTTCGGTATTAATTTATCTCAAAACCCAGCATTTTAAATTCTAAAAACATCGTGTAAATTTCGTTATAATTTCTCAGAAACGATCATTGTGGGAAAATTGTGGGCCAGGACTAAGATTTTTGAACGATCGATGCGATAAACAATAGTTCAAGGAACGATAGAAGTGGGAAAATATAACATTATTTTATATGGGATGTATCCGGGACCGAACAAAACGGACGATGCATCCGGGAAAACGATAGTTCGGGGAACGATGGATAGAGGTTTCACTGTATAATGATATTCACCTACTTCAGAAAGCACCACTGAAATTAATCATCAGATAACTACAAGCAAATACTAGTCTCTTAGACCACTTTATAGTACTTAAAGGTACTGAACAGACCAAAAGTTCAGGTGGTCCATCTTCTGCATCCTCCCCAGACTGCTCTTCTCCAATCTTGCTAAGGTCCCACACATGCAGACGCCTGTCTGTGCCACTAGATGCTAAGATTGTTTCATTATGAGGTGACCACTGCACCTGTAACAATATACAGCAGAGCACATTCAGAATCATTGAATATATTTTCAAAATCTGCCTCTCACTGGGATAATTCTTACTGCAATAAAGTTTTAAGAATAATCAAAAGTAATGGCACTTTTTATGAATTATGTGCAAAAATTACTAAGTAATGAAGAAGCCATCTCAAACTACTTGTCCAATTTCAATGAAATTTAATAATGGGGAGTTAAAAGTAGGCTGGTAAATTTCATTTGGCAATTATTTATTCTTGATAAACTTTGTCAAAGAACTGTATGTCATCACATTTGTGATTATTAACTCCTGTTTCTGCTACAAGAGTGCAGCGCAAGATGGACACAAAAATAGTGCAAAATCATAACACTCTTCTGCAACTTGAAACAATATACACAGAAACTTCATATACATTGAATGGAGTACACATTTGTTTTTTGTCATTACAGCATACCTTGTAATTTAATCAATTCAGTTCTTTAAAAATTCCATTAACAGGGTTTCACTGTACATCTCAATTCAATAGAAAGTACTTCTTACCTGGAAAATTTCATCTTTATGAGATTCAAACGAATGCAGTTTTAGTTTCAGATTTCTCAGATCCCACAGTGCAACAGTCTGCAAAAACAAGCATCACATGTACTAACATATATCCTGTCTAAATATATTTTTCTCTTACAGTGGCTTTAGAAATTAACCTTTCCTTTCACCCATACACATGCAGCATAAATTTGTGGTTCTGCCAGTAGCAGATCTAAAGAAATCATTCTAGAATACAAATTTAGCCGTTACATTTTTCATGTAAAGCTTTTCTCATTTTCATATACCATTCTTCAAGATGAAGTGATGAATCACATCACGTCCTGAAATGTGAGGTTTCGATTGTGGAGGATCTAGTAAAAGAATATCGGAATGCTAGGTGAAGATAACACACTGTATTTACTTGTGTATAACACATCTTTATTTTTAGACCGGAATATTAAAAAGTATTTATGTATAACATGCTTCAAAACAAATAAAATATAAGTAGTGTAAAAAAGATTATGTAGTGTGAAATGTCTGAAGATTAGGTGAACAGAGGTAGCATTTTGAAATGAAACTGACTCAGACACAAATTTCACATTTCCATGTTACAAACTGTGATAGGGTCCATCTGACCAATCTTCATTAGATTAGGTTTTTAGTATAGCATGGCATTGACCACATGGTCAGTGAAACTGGGCTTTAAGAACACGATATAATGCACAAAACCAACCCCCTCAATAGCCCAGTGGGCCACACCATGATTTGTATTACAGAGTTGTTAAATTCATGACCTGGACACACACATATTCTAAATCAGTCAAATGATGCAAGCTTTTCTCCGATAACAGAAAATTCACAACTAGAAACTGACACACAATACATTCTACTGTGTGCACATGCATAAAAAAGCCACTTCCTTCCCTTCTTTAAATAAGTTTCATGTATTACACACACCCTAATTTTAAGAACAAATAATTGTGGGGGGGAACTTCATGTTATACACACATAAATACAGTAACAGTCAAGACCAGAGTATGTTTGACTAATCACATAAGTTTTAAAGTTCTGACATCATACTATTTGTATGCCAAGTGAAAAATTCTCTACATATTTCTAATTCATCCCTGTGAAAAAAAAAGTTAAAGGCAAGAGGAGGGGAGATTAGGAAATTACAACAGACACTTTAGATGAACCATTAAAATAAAGATGTTACCTTATCAGCACTCCCTGTAGCCAAGATAAATTCTGAATATGGATTGAATGAGAGACAGTTTACTTCTGCCGTGTGTGCATCTACCGTGTGCGATGGTTTGCTTGTATTGTTGCAGCGAGTATCCCAGATCATAAGTTTCTGGTCATCAGCTACTGACCCAAATAAAGACTCATGTAGCAGATGCCATGCAACATCCTGTAATGGACAGTATACTATTAAAGATGTTACAGCAATTTGTACCATACTGTTGTGGATCCACATTAGGTGAAACCATCTTTATATTGTAAGAATAAAATAAAACAGCATACTTCTCCTAATCATGTACATATCAAACACAGTTCAATCGAAAAATATCAAATACATGTTACAGGAAATCGAGGTGTACATCTGAAATTCAGCTTAGTCTTTCAATTTCACTGCCTTTATTGGATGGTATTTTTGTGCTTATACCCTATTAATTTTTTTGTTTTGCTTTATTAAATTAAAGGCAACTGAACAGCTGAAGAAAACAGAATGTAATTTGTAAAGTAACCCATTTAAATCCTATTTGTATATAAAGGGATTGGATACTGCAGAGCAGTAATTGGTACTACTGATTTGTATACAGAAACTTGTTCAAACATGTCTTATCGTGCTAAGGTGTATAACTTTCCTGATGTTCCTGGACCATGATAACCCCACACCATTAAAAAATAAAAAAGAGAGTAACAAAACGTTAAATTTTTTGAAGACTTTTCATTGCTATCAATAATTTAATATGCTCAAATATATGTTTGCCACCAAACAGTAAACGTGTATGACAATAAAAAAGGAAGCAATGAACATAACGTGTCTGTCTTGAAGCAATTTATGAGGCTGACATGTGGTTTTTCCAAAATACAAACAAAAATGTAAGATCTTTAACCTTTATCTTACTAGCGTTCCCAGCCTGGGAACGTAAGTTGTGTAGTCAGCCCTACGAACAGGGGACCTCAAAACTTGCAACATTGTAAGAAGACTTGGCTATGCTTTTGGCCTATTTTAGGGGCTGCAAATTATGAATCACTTTCTCTTGGGTTTTTACAAGGTCAGCCTGTGCTGTCAACCCAGAAACTATAACCATAAACAGCAATAAACATTGTTATTGTCAAGTGGGTTTAGGCTTGTTTTCAGGCACCTAATCAAAGCTTCTCACATTCCTGAGCATGATGGGTGAGAATAATGTGTATCCACTGAAGTAGGGGAGACAAATTTTTCTGTGTGGTCATTAGTTCACAACCATGTCCAATGAGCTTCAAAAGAACAAAGTGAAGTTACTAAGGCCTATTTAGGCAATTACGATATTAACTGCATTTTTAAAGAACTCTATGTATTCTCTGTTCTATTCTAATAAATATGGCTTTTATTTTGTCAATTTATCATGTTTACTTTAGATAATATTAAAGTTTTCCGTACAGCGTGCACAAAATTTTAAAAACCTGCAAAGAAACTCCGTAGGGCTGCTACCACTATGCCATTTAAAGGTTAAGAAATGTTATGAGCTGTCACTGTAAATAACAGTCTCTCCAAATCTGATACAAAAGTATATGTTCTTATGAAATAATCTTTATCTGAAGCAATGCTGAATTATGAATTGAATACTGGTGCACTTGTACACATGTGATAACAATTATCACATTGTATTACATTAAGGAAGTAAGTCGTACTAGTCCTTACCTCCACAACAGCTGTATGGCCTGTAAAGATTGTTTTTGCATCAATGATTCGATTTTCTTTTGGAGTCGCATTAATGTCCCAGAGACAAATAGTATGATCATCTGAAGCACTGAGTAGATAACCATTCAGATTTGGATTCCAAGAGAGTCCATAGCCTTCTTTCTGATGGCCTCGAAGCCTGAAAAAGAAATTAAGTGGAATCTGAAGAATTCCGTCTTCTGGGTTGTTGCGCTGTGTAGTCTGATCGATGTTAACCAACGTTTCAGAGGTCATATTGCCTCCGTCATCGCCCTGATGACGGAGGCAGTATGACCTCTGTAACGTTGGCAAACATCGACCAGACTACACGGCGCAACAACCCAGAAGACGGAAATCTTCTCACCGCTGTGAAAACCTCAAATCTTACAATGGAATCTCTTAACTTCACATACAAGTAGAACTGAACACTAACTTAAACATGAAGATTTATATGTTGTTTCAGAATCTAATTTGTTTAATTATACAGTATTAAGAAATATCCTACTGTACAAACTTTTCACAGTGAAAGCAATGAATGCTCTAAAGTAGATTACATAGTTCTCACACCATCTGATAGATGGAAGGAGGAAGTGGTTATGTATGATAATTAGCAAGAAATATTTTGCCCTACTTGTGCATCCTTTATAGAGACATCTCCAAATATTTACAAAGTGTAAAAATACACATCTAGTCCCAAGATAACAGAACTAAATTTACCACATCCATACCTATATTCAATGTATATTAAAGACAAGGATGAACTTACATTTATATACATACAGACTAAAGATAACTGAAACATCTAAAGAAATATATTCTTTCTAACACACTACCTGAGATCAGGGTGGCATTCTCCACTAGGATCAGGTTTTGAAGGATGCTTAGTGTAGTCAAATACCAGTACATCACTTGAAGGAGTCTTTGTTGCAATAACACATGGATTCTGAGGCATATATCGAGCTCGATTCACCTCCCCTTCATGGTTTATCTTGATTTCGATCTCAATCTTACCACTCACAGAACCAAATCCACCAAACTCTGTCAAAAGAAAAAATTTGGGCTGGAACTGCAAACACTTCTCACATAACATCTATTCTGATTTTAGTTAATTGTCAATATTATCAAGTTTTAATGCCTATTATAATTTACAAAATCTTGCAGATTATAGCACAGTGAAATAACATTACAACCACTCATGCAAGCCTTGAAATTCATTCACTAAAATTATATTTCATTAAACTATGCAAAAGCTCTTAAAGAACGTTCTACAAATATAAAATTCCTTGTGGGGGTCACCACAAATTACAAGTCAGAGAATACTCTCAAAGGTGAAAGCAATACAACAGAAAACAGCAGTCTCACAAGATGACAAAGAGCAGGAAAATGTCATACCATCTCTTTATGACACATGTAGGGTGGTAGCCAGTGAACTTAGTGGCAGTTACAAATATAGGGCTATTCAAAAAGATTGTCGGGGTTTTAAAAAATCACTACACGTAGTACAATTGAGGTAGGAATACCAATCTTGTTTTATTGTGTAGCAAAACTCTCAAAGTTTTTTTACATGCATTATAAATGCTCAATATGTGCGCCTTCTGTCAATCTGCAGACATCTACACGAAAGTCCATTTCTTCCCACACACGCCCCAGCATGTCAGCGGTGATGTTCAGAATGGCGGCTCTGATACGTACCTTCAGATCCGGGATAGTCGCAGGTAGAGGGAGGACAAATACTTGATCCTTCCCAAATTTCGTGTGGAAGTGCCGTTGGACAATGGTAACGGACCGACTTTGATGATATTCGAGAGCCTTCTTCTTACCGTTAGACGCCATATTGCAAAATCTCTGGGATCTGGCGGCCAAACGTGTAACTACTGGATGGCGGGCGGTACAGAACAAAACTTTGAGAGTTTCTCTATCCACCAGTGTAATGATAATAGTCGTATGTTTAATGCATTGCCCCACAAAAATTCACAAAACCCCGACAATCTTTTTGAATAGCCCTGTACTACAAAGTGGGCCATTGACATGTCATCAACTAGTTCCTTAAAAGTGCAATAAAAAGGAAATGACAGATACAAAACTATATTCAAGGCTCATTGTCAGCTTCAAAATTGGCAAAAAGTTTAAATTTAATTTCCAAAGTGAGGCCTACTCTTTTCCTCATATCAAGCCTTCTCATTTTGCCTTACAGACGGGCTCAGCTTGTAGCAAAAATATAGTAAATATAACACACAATCAACAGAGAATTGGTCTGAGATCTCACCTGGAGTGTTCCTGGCAGAATGATGATGTAAGTAACAGGAAGTGACATGACGACCACCAAATATAGAAATGACAGACTGGGAAGTTGACAGATACTGAGGGCCAACTGTATTTAGAACTACAATTTAAATGTGTAAGAAAATCCAAATAGAAACAAACTCACCTCCTTTCTCATTGTCATAATGTGATGCATCAAACTGTGCATCTTCATTTGGTAACTGGACACTCGCTATCAATAAATGATTTTGTTCATCAGATGTGTGGGTTCCCAAGATCAGTCGATGCACTGAATAGTCTTTGCCTTCTGGTCTGAAAATTTAAATTCTTTATTACATAAAAGAAAAATCTGCCAACATTTACAAACAGAAACTGGTTGGTATTTTACTTGATCCTTTCCATGACAATGACGAACTGTTTACATGTATGACATAGCTTACAAACAGTTAATGCCTCTTTTGTGTACATATTACTGACTAAATATTTTGTTTCGGGTCATTCACCACTTTAGCAAAATGCAATAGAGGGAATCAGAAAGGAAAGAAGTCAGTGCAGGTGACCAGAAAATTTGCATACGTGGTACCAATCAATATATTTCATACATATCTCTTACAGCAGCCAAAAGACTTAATGAGTCAGTGTTTATGCTGCTCGAAACATTTCTGGAACCCCTTTTCTGGATTATCATTGCATGTCTCTGAATTTCTTCAGTCTTCAGTTTTAGGAATAGCCAAAAGTTGCATGGGGCCAAATCTGGCAAACATGGTGGGTAGTTCAATTACAATATTGACTTTTTGGCCAAAAACACCAAGACAGCAAGCACATCATGAGCAGGGGCATTGTTATGATGCAAGATCCGAGCATCAGACCAAAGTTCAGGTCTTCTATGCTGAACATGTAACCTTACCAAAATTTCCAATTTTTTTTAACACTACTCAAAGACTCTACTTTTTCACAGTATCAGCACCACTAACATCTGTTAACATCTGCAGAGTTTCTTTTTGCACTTTTGCCTAACTTTGCATAAAACTTGATGTTAATGCATTTCTTGAACAACCTAGAACACATTTTTTTCAGCCAGGATGAAAAAATATGCAGGAATTCCAGGAACTTAAATGCCATACCTCATATATTGCTGCTACTACTACTACTTCCTCTAGCATTGTTTATATTTTGTATGAGTCAATGGTATGCTTATAACTGTCAGCAACACTTAAAGTTCATTCAGGTTAGTGATGAAATATTTTCACTACAGCATTTAAAATTTGTTGCAGTGCATATGAAAAATTTACAGTACTTCAGATGCAAATACTGTATGTTCAAGGCTGAATCATTAAGGGCAAAATGTACAAGTTACAACACTAAACCAAAGATCCTGTAGTAGTTATAAAAAGTCACCAATTCTTAGGAAATGTTTTAAACATAATCCACGTACCTTGTAACATCTGGAAGCCACTGTGCTGTCAGTGATGGCCACTCCAGTGCATGTGTCATTACTAAGTCGTACAAGAATGGTGTATTTTTCTTCCAAATTTTGTACTCTTCATTGATAACGCGTTCCTCCACAGCATCATCAAACGTTTCTGAAACAGCCAGTAGATAGAAAAGTATAAGTCAGTAAAAGCTTACATTTTATTTAATATTGGTGCCTCACTATTACAGATTTTCTTGAGAAATGTTCACATGATTCACAACTGTTACTACTAGTATGAATATGATTGTGACCTACAGGATGAACAATTTTGACACTACTTGCCTGTATTACAATCTTTGCAGTTTTGAAAGAACATTTTATAGCCATTCTAGCAAGTTATGTGTGTGTTTGACCAACAATATCTATACAAGTCCAATATTTTAATCACTTTAACTTGCAAGTGAACATATGGAATAGTCTGTGATTACGATAAAACCAATTTTCATTTTCACTGACCAGCTGAGAACTATACAAACGTTCAAAAACTTCCACAATCTGATATCCAAAGGGTTGAAACTGCTACAAGAACCTATATTTGAATCCTACCTTGGGTTATTGCAAACATTAAGTGTATTTGTTATTTATTCAATGACAATGTAAGTAGCCCAGAATATACAGCATTGGTACAAACCTTAAGAACATAATAGCCAAGACTACTGTTGATACAAACCATAGAAGCTGAAGACATATAATGCCAATATAAGTAAATCTGCAGTGGGGAACTCACTGCTTACAAAAATAAACAAAATAAATTAAATGACAGCAATGCCTGGCCTGCACTGCAACGTATAGAAGCGATTAACATGTACATAAAATATTGTAAATATATCAACATATAAGTATGTACGAAAAGGACAAACATTGGGAATTTAATGTAATCTTGTCCTAGAAAGAGAACTCTAACCTAATTAACGAATCTGACCATCTCAATTTTATATATTACATTCACCGATTATTCTGTGTTTACACGGTAGTACAAAGGCTACGTCTCTATTTTGGTACAATTTGTAATATCACGTCATCCTAATGAACTATAAAACATCCATACTGTAACAAAATAAACCAAACTACATTGTCCCCCACCCCCGATTAAAATATTTGTATGTCCCACAGTGAAAACACAATTTGCAAACAATCCAACAGTATCTATTTTACTACAATAATTTTACCTCCATCTTTATCGCCCATTTTAATTCACTCCACAGAAACTCCCTTCTTTTCTGCAAAACCTTCAGAATAACACCACCTATTAGATACGCCAGCTCAACTCCCGCCAAAGTTAATGTTATGCACTTCTAAACTTTCAGCTTCTCTGTTGAATCAAGTGTGCACCAATGAATCTAACATAAGAATCAGAGAGCGTAGTGCACGAAGTCGATATCGACCTTCTGGGTTGTTACCACCGTGTACACTGTAGGCAGAATCCTACGGTTCAAATGATTGTGCGACACGCCGTGCCCAACATTATTCTACAAAGCCGCACCACAACACACACAACGCAGAGAAAACACACCAGGACCCACCAGGCTGTACTAAAATAAAGATAAAATAATTTTAACTTTTAACCGACGTAACTAAATTTAACAATATTCTAATATTTCGTCTTATCATTATTTCAGAGCCGGCGTAACTCAGTTTTGTGACTAACTACGAACTGGACGATTGTGGTTCGATCCTCGACGGGGGCAGGGGATTTTTCCTCTAGCCTCTGCGTCCAAACCGGCTCTAGGGCCTGCACAACCTTCTGTCCAATGGGTACCCGGGTCCCTTCCAGGGGGTAAAGCGCGGCCGGGGCGTGACGCTGACCACTCACCTCTATCTAGTGCAGAGGTAATGAATGATAGGAGCTATACTATCTCTCCCCCCATGCGCCAAAATTGCTTGTAGAAGGACAGCCTTACTTTTTATCATTATTTCTGGACATCGGGGAGAAAATCCTTAGTGCAAAGACATAGAAGCAGGGAATTGAACCTCATTACGGCCACGTTGGTCCGAAACTTATTGTTCAAGTGAACAGTGTTTGAAAAATGAGGTACAAATAAACCAAGAAACAACATACGACCACACCGGGATGCTACACTACAGACTTGCGAAGGCCGTCTTACACACTGACTGTATTATCATCAGTGATGTTGGCTCTGCTCTCGGAGAACTCACGCGTTAATAATAAATATGGCGACGTCGTGGTGTTAGGTTGTTCTGTATCAATGACATTAAAGTAAAGAGATACCGGTGTTGAGGAACGACGGTGAAATGTACATATTTAACAGATAGTATGAAACACTGTTGAAGTTTGTGGACATGTAGTTTTAGTTCCGTGCATTGCCTTCTAATTATATACAGTATATTAGGCCATAACTAAATCAGTTGGCAAGAATGGAAGAGGTACAACTTACTGAAACTGAACAGCGGTATTTCGATGATTTATTCGTATGCTGTGACTCCGATAACACAGGGAAGATTCCGATTTACAAAGCCTCAGAATTATTTCGGTCTGCAAATCTCCCACTCGATGTTTTAAAACAGGTATCTATCTACTCACAGACATCACAAGGATATGTATGAAGAAATAGATGAGAAGTATCTTATCTAGAAGTATTAAGCCTGTAAAGCATAGTGATTATTATATGTATCACCTAATTTAATATTCAGTACCTTGCATTGACTACATTGTATTTATGTGTATTGTATATTTGTTAGAATAAATGGCAGATATTTTCCTAAACTGCATTCCATAAGTGCTATTTGTTAGGGAGGTGCATTGTATTTTCTTTGAGGTAGGAACTGAATATTTAAATATTATATAATGAGCTTCATTCTTTAAAGACCTTTGTGCATATTGAATTGTGTTTATAGTCAAATAAACTGATAGCCATATGCTTAAGTGTGCTCATTTTCATTGTCTTATGAAATTAATAAATTTATTATTTCATTTTATATTTTTCACTGTGAAACTGTGTTCCCTTTTATGAGTTTTTCTTCTGCTGGGGGTTAGGAAATTAAACTGATATGAAACATTTTTATTCTGTTGTATTATTTTTAGAACATCTTCATTATTTAAACTATTCCAAACTTTTTTCACATCATCTCATTTCTTCATTACAGACTTTGATTTTGTTGATGCAATATACATCATTTATGCACATCATAATTAATTTTGTATATATTTACAGTATAGTAACTGTGTTAAGTATATTAACAGTGATTTATAATAAGGCTATCAAGTTTTATTTTGTGGTGTTTTTGGCTGCATGTTTCAACTTAATTGGTCAGTATCAGGCCATTGTTATATAAGTTGTGATCAAGCTATAAGCTGTAAAAGTATTTCTTGCATGTAATCCACTGAGGTACATATAACATATTAACATCATAATTTGTCATTATTTAAAATATAAAATTATCTCTTGCATGTTATATAACCACTTAAACACCTCAATTATTTTGGCTAAACCTGTTATGATTTCATTACAAACATTTCTTAGCAATTAAGTAAACAATTTTTTACATATTGCAATATAGATCAGTGATTACATTGTAGGATTTTTAAAATGACAGAGGGTCTTATTTGATACACTATTACAAGCAATTATTTTCTTGATTAATGTTCTGATGGCTTTTATAACTCACAGTCTTGTTGGTTGACTAGACTTTATACTGTTTATAATTGATCTTTTCTCACTGTCTGTGTACACATGGATGATGGTGCTCATGAAGTGAGATTTCATGTTTTAATGGCAGCAACTATGAAGACAGTTTTTTGCAATATTTTACCATGTATTCTTGTAGATATTTATCATTGTTTCAAAGGTGTCGTCTTAATCATAAGGACTGCGTCACCACTGAAATGTCAGTGGTACAATATCCCATAAGACTGTCATCTTTTGTGCTCATGAAGATCATGATGATGGTAGTTCATAATACACATTTTGGATATTTCAGAGCAGAAATTTCCAAAATATATCTAGGCAGTCTGCAAACAGGACACTAATTAAATAATTAAAGTAATGCAGTCTAATTAGCAAATTGGTATTGGTGATTAATTAAATTAATGATTTATACTAATGTTCACAGCTGGTATTTTTCACTAACCTTATGAAGCTGCAAGCCATCTCATGTCACGTGATTGGTTGACTGGAAGTTTCTGTACTTTTTTCTGTTCCCAGATAACTGAACTTTGTGGTGGAGGCAGAGTGAGTCACTTGGGGCGTCGTCAGTTTTATTCAGCTCTGAAACTTATAGCAGCTTTTCAAGCAGGGCTTCCTTTACATCCAGAGCTTTTCCATTCATCACTTGATGTCCCTTTACCTCGTTTTACTTGGACCACATCTGTAGGTAAGAAAAGCCTGTGGAATGAATTTGTGCTCTAGTTTAAGTACAGTATGAAGAGAGAAATGTATTCCTGTAAGAGAAAGTGTTCCTCACATGTGTTTGAAGTACCTGATTAAACAGATATGCACATAAGTAATGTGTCTGATTTTTATTCAGAATGCCCCCAGTTTGAATCTTGGGTGGGAAATCAGCTTTCATTAGTAGGAGTTGAAGTTTTCATGATGGTAAGTACAAAGATGGCTGTCTTCTGGATTGTCAGATACTCATTGTGATGAGTTGTTACCTTGATGATGATGGCAGCAAGGATCTCTGAAATGTTGGTAAATTTATACCAGACTGCATGGTGCTACAACCCAGAAGACAGCCATCTTCAGCTATCATTACTTACTTATGGTTTTTTTCCATTGTTTCCAGTTAAATACAGAGTTGTACCTTGCACATAGGTCATGGCTGCCTGCTTTAAATCCTACCCACTTTTCATGATTGTGTTCCTGTAATTTCTGTATAACTACATTTGTATCAGTATAATTAAATATCCTTGGAACTAATAATATGGAGTCTGTTTTGTTAATGATGCCATGGTAATTCCATTTTGTGCTTGCAGGTAAATGGGATCCTCAGAACATAAGTCGACAGCTAGGCAGCCCAGATCTCATCCAGCTAAGTGACACAGACAGGACACCAACTCCACAGGTTTGAATCAATTTGATCTTAGTGTTGGTCTTCTGAGTAGCAACACTGTATGCTCTTGTAGGTATCAGTGAAACATAGTGTCTCCATCTTCAGGGCTGATTAAAAACATTGATATTACTACACATAAGACCAACATCTATATCTTCACTGCTGTGATAACGTCAAATGTCAAATCATTCATTCCTTATTTTTAATTTGAATTTTTTGTAATAACATCACTGCAACAGCCTTATATGGTGAAATCTATAATAAATCAGCCTTTACTTACAGGAAAATTCACTAAAATATATGGCTTGAAAGGAAGCACAAAAGGTGAGCAGAACCCTCTGGAAAAATAGTTATTTGCAAGACCAAAACATAGATTAGAGAATACATTAAAGCTGATTGAGCGAAGGTGATTGTGAGGGTAGGATGGAACAGACTCAGAATTATGTTCAGCAGTCTTTTTTTTTTGGGGGGGGGTGGCGGCATTGAACCTTGAATTTCTTCCAGGGAGTAAAGATTAAAATACTTACACTTTAGTTAATTCTCATTTTAACTTGCATGTAGCGTGATCCAGTGGGGAGTGTTCCAAGCAGTGAAGGAGGGGTACAGGTCCTTACAGAGTCCCCCTACCCCAATGGACAATCATGCTCACCAGGCTGTCGACCTGAGCCTAAAGGGATGTCACCTGAAGCTTCTAGCACAGCGAGTGACTCACCTACACCAACCAACAGTGTCCATGAGAGGAACTGGACGCATTGGCATGGGTTGGGTAAGTTTTATTTCATAATCAGTTCTTTAAATGGTTAATCAATCTGTTGTTGTTTAAAAAAAGTTTGACTAAGCAGACTGACAAAATTCATCTTATTTATATGTAAGATAAAGATAGACAACTTGGCACTAGGTGAAGGTAAGTGGTCAGTTTCAGACATTTAT